CCCCCCAAATCACAGAATGGTGAAAAAACCCATGGGAAGGACCTTAAAGCCCCCCCAGTGCCACCCCTTGCCCTGGACAGGGACACCTCCCACCAGCCCAGGTTGCCCAAAGCCCCCTCCAACCTGGTCTTGAGCCCCTCCAGGGATGGGGCAGCCACAGCTTCTCTGGCCAACCTGGGCCAGGCTCTCACCACCCTCACACCAAAGAATTTCCTCCCCAGATCTCACCTAAATCTCCCAATTTTTGATTGAAAACCCTTCCCCCTCGTCCTATGGCTCCACTCCCCAAACACCATCCCTGGAGGGATCTAAAAGCCGGTGCTGAGGGCCATGGGGCAGTGGTGGGTTGGGCAGTGGTGGGTTGGTGGTTGGGCTTGATGACCTTCAAGGTCTCTTCCAACCCAGGGAAGTGGTGGAATCGCCACAGAATCACAGAATGTTTGGGGTTGGAAGGGACCTTAAAGCTCATCCAGTTCCATCCCTTCTGGTGGCTGGGACATCTTCAAGGAGACCAGGTTGCCCAAAGCCCCCTCCATCCTGGCCTTGAACCCCTCCAGGGATGGGGCAGCTTCTCTGAGCAACCTGGTGGTGTTGGGGGGCGAGAAACTCCATAAGAGGCCAGAAAGCCCCCCACCCCCTGGGCTGCAACCCCAACCCCATGGCCAGCAGGGCCAGGGTGGGGATTCTGTCCCTCTGGGGAGACCCCCCACCCAGCCGGTGCTGCCTCCAGCTCTGGGGCTGCCAACATCCCAAGGACGTGGAGCTGTTGGAGTGGGGCCAGAGGAGGCCCCGGAGATGCTGGGAGGGCTGGAGCCCCTCTGCTGGGAGGGGGGGCTGAGAGAGTTGGGGGCTTCAGCCTGGAGAAGAGACTTCTTTGGTGTGAGGGTGGTGAGAGCCTGGCCCAGGTTGCCCAGAGAAGCTGTGGATGCTCTGTCCCTGAAGGTTCAAGGCCAGGTTGGAGGGGGCTTTGGGCAACCTGTTCTGGTGGGAGGTGGCCCTTCCACCAGAATCCCTTCCCTGGAACTGGATGGTCTTAAAGATCCTTTCCAACCCCAAACATTCTGTGATTCTGTGGTGATTCCACCACTTCCCTGGGTTGGAAGAGACCTTGAAGGTCATCAAGCCCAACCACCAACCCACCACTGCCCAACCCACCACTGCCCCATGGCCCTCAGCACCGGCTTTTAGATCCCTCCAGGGATGGTGTTTGGGGAGTGGAGCCATAGGACGAGGGGGAAGGGTTTTCAACCAAAAAATAGGAGATTTAGGTGAGATCTGGGGAAGAACTGAAACAGGGCGGGTTTGGATACTGGGGGGGGGAACACGTGTCTCAGAGTTGGCTTTTCTCCCCCAAAAGCTGACCAGTGAGGACATGATCGCAGCGTTCTCCCAGGCCGTGGACTGGTGAGTCCCTCCTGGGTGGACTGGGAAAGGGGGTTTCTGGGCGAAGGGGTGGGAGGCACAAGGACCCCCCCCCTTTTTTAATATGCTCATCCTCCGCCTTGGATGGATTTTGGGGGGGCAAGTATTTCCCCGTTGCCTCCAGCCCCCCAAGTTCACTTGGGCAACCTGTTCTGGTGGGAGGTGGCCCTTCCACCAGAATCCCTTCCCTGGAACTGGATGGTCTTAAAGATCCTTTCCAACCCCAAACATTCTGTGATTCTGTGGTGATTCCACCACTTCCCTGGGTTGGAAGAGACCTTGAAGGTCATCAAGCCCAACCACCAACCCACCACTGCCCAACCCACCACTGCCCCATGGCCCTCAGCACCGGCTTTTAGATCCCTCCAGGGATGGTGTTTGGGGAGTGGAGCCATAGGACGAGGGGGAAGGGTTTTCAACCAAAAATTGGGAGATTGAGGTGGGATCTGGGGAAGAACTTCTTTGGTGTGAGGGTGGTGAGAGCCTGGCCCAGGTTGGCCAGAGAAGCTGTGGCTTCCCCATCCCTGGAGGGGTTCAAGGCCAGGTTGGAGGGGGCTTTGGGCAACCTGGGCTGGTGGGAGGTGTCCCTGCCCAGGGCAAGGGGTGGCACTGGGGGGGCTTTATGGTCCTTTCCCACCCAAAACCATTCCATGGTTTGGAGGGGATGGGGACAGTTGTCCCTACCTTGGTGTGACCAAAGCCTGGGGTGAGGAGGATCTGACCCCGCTTTCTGCTGCAGGCGGGACGTGGGGCTGCGGGGGGTGCTGAAGGAACTTGCCGACGCCGAGGAAGAGGAGGGTGAGTCGGGGAGACCCCAGGGGATCTTTGGGGCTTCCCTTGGGTCCCTTTTGTCCCCTTTTCCATCGTCCCCCATCCATCCTGAGGTCCTTCTCCCTCCCCAGGGCTGCGGTGGCTGAAGACGGCGGCGAGCTCGGCGCTGGCCATTTGCCACGGGCTCTCCTCCCTCCATGGCTCCCTCTTCCCACACCTCTCCGTGAGTGGGTTTTTTTCTGGGG